TTCGGACTAATCTTTTCCTTGTATCCTGTTCTCTTCATTTTGCCTTGCTCCCGAAGGGATGAGACCAGTGGAGTATCTTAGATGGCCGCTCACAGGCTTTTAAGACCCCAGAAACTACTCACCAAGGTAGAATGTAGAGCATTGTCTTTATAAGCTGTGTCGTGCCAATTGAGCTAAATGTTCCCCCAGACCATGGTCCCCACAGCCCTCTGCCCAGCCATTCAGTCACCATGGACTATCTTTGAAATTGGAAAAAGAAAGTCTCAAAACGTACGTGGAAGGACAGCTGTCCGAGAATAACCGAGAGAGGTCAGGTGGGGCCTGCCTCACCTCGCCAGGTGTTTGACAAGCTGTGACACTTCTGTGGCCAGAAGAGTGTGAAGGTGTCAGTGGGGTGGATGACTTGAGCTGACAGAATGCCCAGAAATGAAAGCTGTTCTGTACAGGGGTTTAGGGTGTTAACCAGGATCGTACGTAAATTCAGTGGGAGAAGGGTAGTTTATTTAGGTAAAACCAACTATCTATGTAGAACAAAATAGAGTTGAATTTGTACATTGTATAATATACCAAAATAAATTTTAAAAAAAAGGAGAGAAGACTTAATAGAATATTACGTATAACTGTCCCTGGAGAAAGCCTTTTAAACAGAGACATGTCACATAAAAGGTATGAAAAGAAGGATATATTTGACTACTTAATTTCCATTACTCTTTATTATGCATAATTTTGTATAGATTGGTTCTTTCATTTCCTAGTACTGAAAAATTGTTAATTTGGAGTCCAGTAGAGAATTTGGAGTGTATAAGGTCTGCCATACAGTTAGAATTGGCCATACTCATTAAGAGGGACATCAGAGGACAAAGAAGTGTTAGAATTCATTACCCTTATCCTGTGCTTCCAGAGTTATTGCAGAGATAGCTCCAGGATACGTTACTGACTGTTTTGTATTGGAGCAGGGTTCCATAGCATTCTACATGGAGTGGCCTGTACTGTTTTACTACGGAAATTAATTTCCCTTTCAGCTTGAGTCAGTTGAAACTGATAACAGCTGTCACTTTTTTTTACTCAGGGTATGAAAGCGCCAGTATGTCTAGCACATGCGAACCTTGCAAAAGTAGGAACAGACATTCAGCTCAGACTGAAGAGCCTGTTCAGGCAAAAGCATTCAGCAGGAAGAACCACGAGCAGCTGGAAAAAATAATAAAATACAGTAGGTCGGCAGAAATATCTTCAGGTATGTTCTGTTTGTGGTTTATTTTAAGGCGCGCCTAGATTTGAAATTGGTCTGTCAAACATTTCTATTTTGTGCCAAGTTTTATAGTAGATATTATGGTACACAGTCATTGATATCAAGAAGTCTAAACTAGAAGTATATTTTTGGGCTGTGATACTAGTTTTTTGACACATTTTTATAAAATACCTCCTAAACAAAAGAATAGGTATATTATTGTGAAACTCCTCATTTGAAATAATTCTGAAACTCTTATTTGAATAAGAACTGATGTAAAATCCTATCATTCTGCGTAAAAGCTTGGCTTTCACTGTGCCTGCCGAGTGGAGTGGGGATGTCTTAACATTAACAAACGCTCCTCAGAGATTTGGTTACTTCCTGCCTCTCCCAACTCCTCTCTCGCTGCCCTCTGCTTTGAACTTCGTTCTTTCCTCCACACTGAACTAAAGTTTCTTGTAGCTGTCGTGCTGTTTCTCACCGCCCCCTACCCCTTGCCCCCCAGCAGTTGTCTTTTCGGCCTCATGTCCCTTTTACCCTTTGTGAGCTCTTTTTCTGATAGACTTACATAGAGTCTTAATTCCAGAGCCCTGAAATTGCATCCTAAACTAAGCTGAGGCAGGTTCCACTCTTCCCTTTGTTTCCATTTTAGCCAGTGCAAACCTATTTTGTTGCTCGTATCACATTATATAATATTACCTGTTTAAGTGTACCCCCCTTTTGAGTTGCTTGGCACCAGATACTACCTTTTCGTATTTATATCTTAAATATTAGCAATAATACCTGACACGTGGTAGGGGCTCAGTAAGTGTTTACTGAATCAGTAGAAGCATATGTAGTTGCCAGTATTTAAATAAGTACTAGTAATTTTCTGATTTACGGAGAATAATAAGTGCATCGCTAAGAAGTATGGGGAGGGGGTAGGAAATATAAATTCAGGTAGTCCTCAGTTGTCAGTAAGATCCCTGGTGAAAATGATAATCACAGCTACTTTCTGTATCCTGCTTTTCTGTTTACAAATTACCAGCTCATCTCATCCGAGTCTCCTAATCCCATGAGTTAGTTTTATTTCCGTTTTGTAGACGAGGAAGCATGGTCAAAGAAGGTAGCTGATTTTTGCCAGCATTTGATAAGGGCCAATAATATAAACTACCACAACTTTTCTGGAAAGCTTCAGAAGTAGGAATCCATCCTAAGAAAATGAAAATGAAAAAAAACTTGGAATTTAGTGCTCTTTGAACAGTATGATTCCAACTATGTTTAAACAAAAAATTGAATGGAATAAGACTGGAAGAAAATGCATCAAAATATCATTTCCTTTTATTACCATTTTCAAACTTTTCTATATTTTCTAAAACTTTCATAATGAGTATATATTACTTTTGTAATCAGAAAAGAAACATCAGATTTGTTTGTATTTTGAAGTGACTTCTTCAGGGTCATATTGTAGTAAGTGGCAGAGCTGAACTTTAAATTCTAGTCTCCTCTTAAGTTCAGGATCCTTTGGGAAAAATTGTATTGTCTGAACCTTAGAACTTGATCAACATTTTACAAGTTTCATCTCATTTCACTATCTTTATCAATAGTGATGTTCCCAAAGAGGAAACAGTGGGGTGGGAGTTAGAGAAGGGCGTTAAATTGAAAGGTTTAACAAACTAGGTCTCAATCTCCTAAATAATTGATAGTTGACTATAGTACTTGAGACTTTATTACTGTCACTTGGAAAAATGTAATGATTGAATTTTGGTGAATTAAAAAAAATGTGAATAGTGTAAATACACTTTGGTGTATATTTACATTCTCACATGCTGAAGATTTATTTTTAGTTTTAACCATCACCTTACAATTTTTATAGCATGTACTAGTAGTTTTTGTTATTTTACCCATGATACGTGGTTAAATAAAGTATAGCATATATGACTGCTAGTATTGAATTGCACAGTTCTCTTCTCCCGTGGGAGTTCTGGGCGGTTCTGAGCTTGAATGGTAGAAGTGTATTATGATAGTTATCGTCAGTCATGGTAATAAAAGTTGGTAAGGCTTTTGGGATTTTCCCATCTGATGAGTTTATTTTTATGTGACCATAAACCATGCCTGGTAATAACATTTCAGCTCAAGCAAACAGTTTTAAAGAAATTTGCTTATTTCTTTTTTTCATTCACTGATTCATATTATAGACCCTGTCTTTCCTACTCATACACATTTTATGTTCATCCTTATGTCTGCCCTTTCCCGCAGCACATGCTAGGAGAGTACCACAGCAGGCTAACAGAAATGCATGCAATGAAGCGCCAGGTAACAATCTGCTTAGTTTTGGTGTCCACGTCGCGTTAATTTTTTTCCATTGGTCCTAAAATCCTTGGTTTTATTGCTCTAATTTTTTTTTTTTAATCTAGCTTAGTGTATGTATGTTATTGTTTCACTGTTGTAAAAATGAGAGAATTCATATTCACAAAAGTCTGAAATCTTTCATTTATAACTCTTTACTTGGTAAAATTGGCTACTTTTTTGGTTTTCGTTTTCTATTGTTGTGGGTAGCATACCCAACACATTCATATGGTGATAGAAAGCTTTTTATGATTTCGTGTTTGCTTTGAAGTTATTTTGTGTTTCTTAAATGCTCAAAAGCATTAACGTTTTTTGAAAGCAAAATGTAGTTATTTTTATTCCTGGCTCTGATTTACAGATTTGTGTTGCAGTTTGCTTACTTTTCATTGCTGATCAACATCTATTTAAAAAATAATAATAATTATGACATGCAAAGACAGTGATGATAAAGATCATGGAAAATTACAGAGATTCCAAAATGTTTTTTTATCTTTAAAGTATGTTTTTTCATAAAATATAGTCCTGAGTGATTTAGAATTATAAATATCCTTTGGTTCCTTCTGCAGCTGTAGCTGAGTGAAAAATAAAAGGCTGCTGTGAACCTTTAGGGGAATCTAAAGAAGCTTTAAAACAAGGACCCAGAACTGACAAAGCTGAATATATCAGTAGCATTTCCGAAAGAAAAGAACTCTGAAACTAGGAAGGGTAAAAACAAGATGAAATCAGAGAAACCTGACTGACATCAGGGATTTTTCTGGTCTAAAGTAATTAATTTTAGTTCTAGAGAAGAAACTGACATGTACTTTCTACCTTTTGACTGCTGTGGGGAGGGAGGAAGCATGAGTTTGGCATAATTCATTATTTAGGAATAGTTTGATCCTTACTGACACATAATTTGGAGTGATAACTCTCTCACATACAGAGGTATTAAATATGTTATTAAAATATACTTTGTTCTTATGTCTTAGAAATAAATCACATTTGGACATTTTAAAACTGCTAAGATCTTGAGGACGCTGCTTCATTTTGTGCCCGTCATCACTGTCTGAGGCACGATAGAGAAGTGGTGTATTTTTTGCTGTTATTTTATCCTTGTGGAAATGGAGACTTAAATGTGTTATTACTTAGCTAATTAGTGGGAACTTTTTTTTGTTGTTGGAGCACCTTCCTTTCGTATTCTCTCATTCTTCCCGCAAAAAGGGAATTAAATTTTATCTTTTCACACTTACTTGAAAGTACAGTATATTAAAATACTCAACATTTTTAATTCCTTTCTTAGAATCTCGTCACTAGTTTTTGTGGAACCTGAATATTTACTGTGGTTCTACCATTGCTCTATAAAATTTACAGGATTTGATAGCTCGAAGAGCTGCTTGGAGATTTGTTTCTCTCACAGAAAACTGAAAATGGGAACAGTTCTGATTGGTACTCTTGAAATAAAAGCATGAATATATACCTTTAAGAATGATAACTTCATGTTATCAATAAATATGTATAACAGAGTTGTAGCTCAGTAATAGAGTGAGTCTGGATTCTGTGGAACTGAAAACTTGAGTTAGATCACTTCTCGTTCCAGCGCATAGAAACCAGTTTCCGTCAAGTCGGTGCCAACTCATGGTGACGCCATGTGTGTCAGGGTAGAACTGTGCTCCGTAGCGTGTTCAGTAGCTGATTTTTCGGAAATAGGTTTCCAGGCCTTTCTTCTGAGGCTCCCCTGGGTGGACTCGAACTGCCAATCTTTCAGTTAGTAGCTGAGCATGTTAACTGTTTGCTCCACCAGGGCCTCCTCCATTCTAGCTTATACTGAGTGTGTAAGTAAGACCCTGTAGTGAAATTGACCCATCGTATTATAGTCAGAAATTCAGGTTTTCGTTGTTTTAGCTCTTAATTTTCTGCATGAAAGATGGGGTTTAAAATGAGTAGACCTAAACAGTAGCCGCCATAGCAGTGTTCGGTTTGTTCTGGGCATTCACAAAATAAATGTCTGTAACGAGGTTCATATTAGCAAAAAAGAAAAAAAATTCACAGTTTATTTCATCAAAGTGCCGAGAGATTTTCACTGCTTATTCCTGTGAAGTGTATCAAAGTTTCCAGGTATTTTTAATTGAGAAAGAAGTATGATCTAAGAAGTGCTAGGTAATTTATTTATGCATTTAAATGTTTCTTTAACATAGAGTATTTATCTTGGTAATTTTAAGGTTCTTTTTCTACTTTAAAAGCCCTGAGAAAGAATTGTGTTTTGATTTTTAAGTAATTGAAACAGACAGTAATGATCCAAGTTAATAGATGATGTCATGAAGATCCTCCGTCAACACTGATTTTCTGATCTGTTATATCTTCCAGAAACTGGGAGTGATTTTTCCCTATTTGAAGCTTTGCGGGATACCATTTATTCTGAAGTAGCAACGTTAATTTCTCAGAACGAATCTCGTCCACATTTTCTTATCGAACTCTTCCACGAGCTTCAGCTACTTAATACAGACTACTTGAGACAGAGAGCTTTATACACACTGCAGGTATCTGATACCTAACACACTTTTTCCTACCTTATCTGTTCCCACCTTTCTTCCTTATTATATCTGGCTCCTTCTTAGACTGCAGCATGGTCTTGGTCCGTGTGTGTTTGGGGCATCTGTTTTCTGTGTGCTTTCTTGCCATTTTATTTAAAACTTCTATTTTCCAGTGTTTTATCTTCAATATTATTTCTTCCCCACCATTAATCTGTGAGATGAGAAATACTACGTTTGTTCTTCCATCTGCTGCTTTTAAGCGTGCAACATAAATTTGTGATGAAGGGTCTGTTTGGTGTGACTGTTTCCCTGGCTTATCTAGGACATAGTGTCGAGACATGTTTCGGAGCGCCGTGAGAAAGAAGAGCAAGATGGGAAGTTGGTGAATTCTGGTACCTGGATAGCATCCAACTCAGAGCTGACTCCCAGTGAAAGCCTGGCCACCACCGATGATGTAAGCTGATAAATTCGTGAGATGTAATTTCAGTGTGCAGTCACAAAAGTGAAATAGATGGTCGTCAGACAGCGTGAGCACAGCTAATATTATGTGGGTTTTGGCTTTTTGAAAAACTCCAGGGTGATGTATCATTTTTATTTTGAGGTGAGGTATAAAACTCAATCAAAGTATGGCACCAGTAAAACACCAAAAATTATGTATAAATGTAGATTATGAGGTCTAAAATCACCATATTGATAGCCCTCTTGCCCAAGATGGGGCTGACTCATCACACACGTTTAATAAGTGTATCTGTGTTCATTCAGGATAATCAGTAAACCAGATAGCAATCAATAAAGATCCTTGAATAAAGAAATACAAGATAAATTAAGTTTTTGGGTGACAGAAAAGCCTAGATAAAAGAAAATCATCCAGGAAAAAAAAATGCAGCTTAATATATTTTAGTTGATGGAGCAAATTTTGAATACAAAGGACCTCCAAACGGGCAAGAGTCACGAGGAGAACGGCGTAAGTCTGATAAACTGGGTCCTTCAGTGTAGCTGGGGATGGCGTCTCCTGTCTTTAGGTTCTCAGTTCTCAGCACCTGGCACATAGCTGGGTCACTGAATGCTGGCAGAACTGCTGGGTCCCTGAGGAGGCATGACACGCTAGGTGTTTGAGAACCACCTTATTTAGAGGCCCAGTGGCAAAGCTGTGAGACCCTGGATCTGTTGTAGAAGATCTGGATGGCAGGTGCATTCCTTCTTTATGCCCGCTCTAGCACCAGGTTATATACATCCCTGGGAAAGGCTGCCGGAGCTGTTGGCAATACGTATCTGTAACAGGTAGAGAGTCGGGAGCACATGTCCTGTGTTTTTGTCCTTCATTGAAATGTTAACACAAGTATTTTCTCAAAGATTGCTCCTTTAATAGAAGTTTTTATTTTACTGATGTCTGTTTTTTTAATAAATTTATCTGGTTTTATGTCTTTTTCCGACATAGTAATTTCCTTATACCTATTGAGGACTTCTCCTGATTTTTTACTATTTTAAACTTATACTCATGTCTAAAACAATGCTTCCCCAAAAAGGTTTTCTTCTTAAAACCTTTTTCCACCAGGGTCCAACTCTTGTACTACCGTGAAAATTAATCTCTGTCTAAAAACTACATGACTTTTGTTGACTTTACAGTGTCAAATATAAATTAGTGTAAATAATTTGCTGTTTTGGATTAAACATTTTTCTATTTGAAAATTATGTACTCATGTTTGTGGAAAATGAAAAGTGGTCCAGCTATGTACATAAAAAGTGGGAGATACTAGGTTATATTAAGGCTTATTATGCATTGAAATGACGTATTGAGAGAGAATAAAGTCCCATTCTTAGAAATCTTTAGTAATTTTATTTAAAAAACCCATTGCCATCGAGTCGATCCTGACTCATAGCAACCCTGTAGGACAGAGTAGAACTGCCCCACAGGGTTTCCAAGGAGTGGCTGGTGGATTCGAACTGCCAGTCTTTTGGTTAGCAGCCAAGCTCTTAACCACTGCGCCACCAGGGCTCCGGTAATTTTATATGTCTCCCCTTTTATCCAAGTGTCATGTAAGCAGCATACCATTTATTTTAAAAGATTTGAGCACATTGGTTTACGCTGTCAATAGCATATTTCAAACATTGTCCAATTTAAGATGAAGTTAGTTTGACAGGGTTTTAAAATTAAATAAAATTCAAAGATACTGTACTGCTTGGTAAGTAAGGACTTGACGTAAATAACTGTATGAAGAATTACTTTTAAATAACTACATCAGTTCGTTGGTTTTTTCCTCCAGAACTTAAGTTCGGCATTAATGTCAGCATTTCCCCTTTATTACTGCCAGCTAATCAGCAGCAGCAGCAGCAGCACAGCTTCCAGTGTTCATACACAAAGATCTAGAGACATGCCCATCAGCAGGACTTCCCACAGGGGTGATGTTCTGTATTTGCCTTATCTAATACCATAGCCACAAGCCCCATGCAGCCATGAAGTTCTTGAAGCGGGGCTAGTGCAACTGAGGAGCTAAATTTTTAAATGTATTGAATTTAAATTTAAATGTGGCTGGTTGTTACTGTATTGGACAGATCTAGAGTCCCATTCTGCATGCTTCTGGTTTATAGGCCAAGGTCATTTGAGCCCCATCCATGTAATCTCAGAGGTGTTTGTTGTCCAGGAAGTTGGAAGGAGTAAAATATGAAGGCCCTGAAGTTGTAGCCTGGCTCTAGCAGACAGGAGCATTGCAGGCTGTGTGAGAGTCTTCATTCCCAGGAGCCTAGAGAGGAGAAGTGACAGCGAGAATGGGCATCTGGGAACTGTGAGTCAGTAGGGTGGAGTGGAGGAGTGGGGTGTCGGAAAAGGAAGAAACGCTTTACACTTGTATTTACATCTTCTCCTCCAGGTTCTGTAAAATGGTAAACGCACAACGGCCTTTAAGTCTTACCTGAAGGAGCAACAAAGTGTGGTCCTAGCATAGCAAATACATTTCTTTTTTTTTTTTATGCCCTGTTCCATAGAACATGTTCCCTAATACCTGAATTTCTTTTAACAAGAGACAAAACTTTCATTTCATAATTTGAAAAATAGAAAACGTAAAAAGATCAGTAGCTAGGAAAAAAACACAATCGTGAGATGAGTTTCAGTCAAAATGTGAGACTCCTAGTTCACACTATATATAAAAATTAATTGTATATGACTTTAAGACTTGTAAAAGCTAAAACTATAAAACTTCTAAAAGGAGACATACGGGATAATCTTCATGACTGTGGCAAAGGCAAAGATTTCTAGGACACAGCATTAACTAAAAGAGAAAAATTGATTAATTAGACTTCATAAAAACTAAAATCTTCTCTTTAGAAGATATCATTAGGAGGAAGTATTCCCAGTACACATAGCTGACAGATGACTTGTATCTGGACTATATAAAGAACTCTTACAGCTAAGTAAAAAATGGGCCAGAGATTTGAACAGGTACTTCATGAAAGAAGATGTATGAATGATCAGTAAGCAAATAAAAAAACGCTCTGTAGCATTTAGTCATCAAGGAAACGGCAAACTAAAATCACACAAGATGCCACGTCACACTCACTAGGATGGCTAAAATTAAAAAGTTGACAGTAAGAAGTGTTGGTGAAAATGTGGAGCAGTTGGAACTTTCACACTGCTGGTGGCAATGTAAAATTGTAGGACCACTTTGGAAAGCAGTTTGGCAGTTTCTTATAAAGTTAAACCTAAACTTTGCATGTGACCTAACAATTTCTTTTCTAGGTATTCATCCGAGAGAAATGAAAACATGTCCACAAAAATACTTGTATACTAATGTTCATGTCAGCTTTATTCATGATAGCCTCAAACTGGAACATCAGCAGATAAATGGATAAACAAACAGTGGTATATCCATACAGTGGAATACCGTTCAGCCAATAAAAAACACGAACTTGTGAAACACACAACAGCAGGGATTAATTTCAGAAATGTACTGAGGAAAAGAAGCCAGGCGATGAAGAGTGTGTACTGTGGTTCCGTTTATATGAAGTTCAGAAGCAGCAGAGCTAATCCGTGATGATGGAAGTCATATCAGGGGGATCTGGGGGGTTACTGATTGCTGATGAAACGGTCTCTGTCTTTAGGGAAAGTGGTTATATGAGTGTATACATTGTCAAAACTCACCAAACTGTACACTTAAAATGGGTGCATTGTATATAAATTATATTTTAATAAAGTTAATTTAAAAAAAATGTGAATGATGCTTTTTTTCTTCTTCTGATCTGAGACAGCCAAGTATTGTAGGAAGCTACTAAGCATCATTAGTGTTTAGAAATGGAAGAATGTCCCTGAGGGTACAGAAGTAGTTGAAAAAGTTACCTTTGGCTGATTTTAGAATTTGATCAGTAGTTAGCTGTGTGTACTTTCATCTACATAAAGACAAACAGATGTTCTGTAAAGGCTGCTTAGTATTTTAATGTGCTCTTTGACTGGCGCTAATTAACTTCGGTTATATTACAGTCTTGTTTGGATAGAAGATTCGTCACTTATGAATGTCTCTTAGATGTATGGTTTCATGCAAATACTTAGTTTCCATATAAGATCTCTAACATACTTTTTAAAGAAACAGTGATTTTTGTTTTGTTTTCTTTACTATAACCTAGGAAACCTTTGAGAAGAACTTTGAGAGAGAAACACATAAAATAAGTGAGCAAAACGATGCTGATAATGCTAGTGTCATGTCTGTATCTTCAAATTTCGAGCCTTTTGCAACAGATGATCTAGGTAAGCAGAATTCTTATATAATCATAGAACATGACTTCAGTCTGGTCTAGTTTTCGAATTACATTGATAAGGACACAAAAATCTAGAAACGCAAGGTGTGGTAGAAAGAAAATGGACTTTACAGTCTATCAACTTAAATTTATTAAGAGTCTCCTCACTGTCAACTCTTCGACCTTGGGCAAATCATCTAACCTTTCTGCATATACTAAAAACTGGGAATCTTAACCTACCTGCCTCTGTTCTCATGAAAAATACATAGAACATTCTAGCCTTATAATAGGAGTTCAGAAAATGTTAGTGTCCTTTCCTTCCCCTTAAGGGAAAGCTAGAATTCAGAGAGATCAATGCCACACCAGTCACATTTCCAGTAGACATGTTGACCCCGTAATTTGAGTCGGAGAACTAAACTTTCTCAGCATAAACGATCTGCAGTGAGAAACCCAGATAACTCAGGCACGTTTCCCTTTTTTTTTTTTTTTAAATTAACGGTAACACAGACGAAGTACAGAGGTTTGCATAACTCTAAAAGGGGCAAAAATCTGAGTCCTAGACTTGGAGAGAAGATTAGAGAAAAGAAAAATGCATGTACCTGATTGATTTCCAGGTGCTGGCCTATCAAAGATGCATCAGTATTCAGTCACTCAGACCTCCAGGATGCCTGGTGGCTAAAATAATCTGATGTCCGGTGTTCTGGCGGTCACATGGTGAGAACAAGATGTAGACAATTTCAGAATCATTTTCCCCCTGCAAAGAAAGAGGCTAAGCCTTGTCCTATCACTGGGTATCCGGCTTTTACCAAAACAACAGATCTTTTTGCCTTGTCTTGACTGTCAAAGACTTAAGCCTTAATTCCCCTCTGAGTAAATACCTGCCAGGTCTGTGCCAAGCTCATCCCCTCATACAGAAGAATCACTGTAGGGCCAGCCCTGTCTGAATTACCACGTGACTTTGAGTTCTGCCTGTTTTCTTTTACTGATTCCTTCTAATCACCCTTCACCATGAGCTTTGTCTGACATGGATGTAGGGGAATTGAGAGGTCTCATTCATAGATCTTGACCTTGCCTTATTTGTTTGTTCGGTTGGATTGTTTTTATCAGAATTTGTATCACATTCAGATATTTTTTTTGTGCTGTTTTAAGTGAAGCAGCATGATGAAGGAAAATAAATAATAGGCTTCAGAGTCTAAGAGACCTGAGTTCAAATCCTTGCTCCTACATTTAACGGGCTGTGAAACCTTGGGCAAGTTACTTAAGTTCTCAGAAAATGAGAGAACTGTTATCTGTTCTCTCGGGTTATGTTAAGGATCACATTAAAAATGTAATAATGTATATGAAGGGTCCAACTGGTACAGTACCTGGAACTTATAAAGCTGATTTTCTTTCCTTATCTTCAGATTTTGAGGAATGCATTAAAAAGGTTGCATTTACATTTTCTAGAACTATTTCTGTTCCAAATGCAGGCAACACTGTGATTCACCTAGATCAAGCATTAGCCAGAATGAGGGAGTATGAGCGGATGAAGACGGAGGCTGAGAGTAACCCGAATCTAAGATGCACCTGCAGGATTATTGAGGAGGAAGATGGTGCTGCTGCCACTACTGCAGTTAACAGTGTAGAAGGTGTGTTCTTGGACTGATTAAAAATAAAAACCATAGTTCTGCTAATTTTTTATGATTCATTTTTGTTGAGACTATGCACAGTTGAACAATTCAGCAGTTTCTACATGTACAATTCAGTGACACTGACTGCATTCTTCATTCTCACCCTCCCTTTCTGAGTTGTTACTCCCGCAGTAACATAACCTCACTGATGCGTAATAGTGGTTTTATTACAGCTTCTTTTCATTATTCCAAAAAAACCAAACCCGTTGCTGTCAAGTCAATTCCGACTCATAGCGACCCTATAGGACAGAGTAGAACTGCCCTACAGGTTTTCTAAGGAGCGGCTGGTGGATTTGAACTGCCGACCTTTTGGTTAGTAGCCAGGCTCTTAACCACTGTGCCACCGGGGCTCCTTTTCGTTATTAGGGGTGCTAAAACTAGATACATGTTTGTTTTATTTTCATATAAAATCATCAGAATCTAATGTTCTTTAAAGTTTTGCACAGATGCATATTATAATGTCATAGGCTCTATTTTGCTAATGTATCATTTTCTTTTAAAAAATAGAGACTCCCGTTGCTGAAAATCATAGTTCACAACAGCCTGCAAGTGAAGTTTCTAACATCCCTTGTCCTCGAATTGACACTCAGCAGCTGGACCGGCAAATTAAAGCCATTATGAAAGAAGTCATTCCTTTTTTGAAGGTAAGCAATAATTTAAATGAACAGTTTTTCTTTTGTTTTTCAATTCATACAGACGAGTCACCCAGAGATAGCCCCTGCCAACGTTTTTGGGATCTTTCTGTCCTTCTTACACACGTATGTGTGTGTTCCTCTTCTTTTCATGTGTTGCACCGGAACATCTTTCCAGATGACTGTTTGTCTGCTGCACATTGTTTAACGGATTTGCGTATCCATTCCTTATTCATTTGAAAATATTTATAAAATGCCTACTCTATGCCAGCTTTTGTGGACATAGCAGTAAATAAGTCGGCGTCTCTGCTCCCATGGAGCTTACACAGTAGGATGGGAATACAGACCAAAAGCACAAGTAAATGTACATCCGGTGGTGGCACATGCCATGCAGAGAATTAAGACATGGTGATACGACAGTGTCTCTTTTAGATGGCATGGCCAGGGAAGGCTTTTGAAGAGAGGACATTTAAGCAGAGACGGGAATGATAAAGAGGGGCCAGCTTCAACGAAGATCATTCCAGATGGAGCGAAAGGCCTTAAGGCGGGAAGCAGATGGCAGGTTGAAGGAACTGGAGGAAAACCCATGTGGTTGGCGGGTATTTGTGTGAAGATGGAGTTGGAGAGAGAGGCAGGGGTTGGGTTATGTAGACTTGGTAGGCCGGCCATAAGTAGGAGTCTGTCCTTGTTCAGAGTGCAGAGGGGAACTCCTAGAGGAGCTTGAGCAGGAGAGAGACACAGTCTGGTTCCTTTTTGGGGAATTGATCATGGGGATCAGGAGTGCAGTGAGATCAGATGAGAAACGTTGGCAGCCTTAGATGTCGTAGTGATGAAGATGGGGAGAAGTAGACAGTTGGGATAAGTTTTGGAGGAAATCAGCAGGTCCAACAAATGGTTGGGGTGTTGACAGATAAAGAGAAAGAGAAACACTGGCTAGAAGGAAATGTGATTTTTTGAGACAGAAGGGTTGGAAGATGGGGAAGGTAAAGTATTCTGTTTTGAACATGAAATTTGAGCTGCCTGTTAGGGAGTTACATGAGAAGTGAAGTAGACATCTGATACTCAGTTAAGTCCAGGCTCAGCCTGAGAGAGAGAGGGTAGTTCATAGCATGTAGATGTCACCTAAAGCCACAGCGCCAGGTAAGAGAAGAGAAGCGGGCCTAGAACTGGGGCCTGGGACCAGGCCATCCGACATCTGGAAGAGCCGGAGTTGACCGAGGAGGAGTGCCGGTAGTCGGCCGTGTTGAGTGCCACTAGGAGGTTGGGTGTTCATAAACGGGATTTTCTAGTAGTTTACCAATCCTTGTTAAACATTTAGGTTAATTCTGGTTGTTTTCGTTGTTGTTTTTCACTATTATAAACAATTTTTCAATAGTTTAGCTAAAATTTAAAACTGTATTTTTATTTCCTTAGAAAAATTCATAGACATAGAAATTTCTAGCTAAAACAGTATGAACATTTTGAAGACTTTTAAGACATTAAGTTAAATTGTCCCTCAGAAAGGTTGCCCAGTTTATATCCCTGCCAGCAGTGAGAGTATGAAATTGGTAAGCAGTACTAAGGATTTTGTTTAAACATTAGCAAGGCAGAGAAGGAAGTGTACAAGAAATGGACTGTGAAGAGTAATTACAACTTTTTTTCTGAGGTGGTATGCTTACATTCTGTTTTAAAATAGAAATTTTATAAATTAGAAGTCATTGTTTTATTGTCATGTAGATATGGAGAACTGTAAAATACATTGTCCTGGGGCTTATTTCTTACAACCTACTTGTATTTTCTTTATAAGATGTTGACAACAGAAAGTTGTCTCCATGTACCACTGTTTTTCCCTCAGTCGACAGAATGACTTTTTATGGCCTGTTTTGAGGGAAGAGATGTCTTTGAGATGCAGTTTGTGGCAGTTGCAGGAACTGCTTTCTCTGAGGAAAATAACAGAGCATCTGACTAGCCAAAGGGAAAGATAAGATCATCCGACTGCGCCTAAATAATCCCATGAAAACGGAAACCTCAGCCATTTCCTGGACAGTCACGGCAGCTCCTAAGTGGTCTGACTGCCTGTTTGCTTCCTGTTCTGATCACTCCTCCCTGCTGCTAGAGCCACTAGCACTTTCAGGGCCTTGCCACTTGCTGTCACTTTTGCCAGAAACGTTCTTCCCTCGAGCGCCCACGTGACTTGTTCCCTAGTCTTTGGTCAAATGTACCTTCTCGGTGAGTAGGCCTGCCCCCACCCCTTTACTTGCTGTTCTTTTTCTCTATAGTGTTTATCGTCTTCGAATCTGCTAAATATTTGCTTGTTTATTTTGTCTGCCCCCTGCTAAAATGTAAGCTCTGTGAAGTCAGAGATGCTAATCTTTCTGGTCGCCACCATACCACCAGTGTCTAGAATAGTACCTGGAATGCAGTAGGCACGTAAATACTGAATGAGTGGATGAATAGAACGACTGGCTTCTTCAAACTTCAGCTCTTTTCAGACTCATCAGACTCTTTAGTCACTACAAAGTATGGTTTGAAAGCACGTGGCCAGTAGGATAACGATCAGATTTAGCATTACTCAAGAGACCTTTTACAGCTTGGTCCCAGCCTCTGAACTCTTCTTTCCCACATACCTGTGTCCTCCTTGACACTGTTCCCAAAAAAGCACTTCGCCTGTGTCTTTCCCTTTGTCTAGAGTGCCTTCCACCCTCTCCGTCAGGTAATTTTACCCTTCCGGGCCCACCCCCAGCGTTACTGCGGGTCAGCCAGCGTGGATCCTTCTCTTCACTGTCGCTGAGATACGTGGTACATGCCTGTGTTCTCGCACTGAAAACACAGCATTAGAACTGTTTATTTGTGTTTATCTCCCGCTAGAGTATTACTTCTTCTTCTCTTTACACTTTCACTTAAAAGTCTAGGCAAAGGGAATTGAGCAGATAAGACATAATAAATACGTCAGTTTTAATAACTGTTCTGTGGATTTCTGTCCTGTTTTTTTTTTTTTTACTGCCAAAAAGAATATCTATATATTCCGATAAATAGGTAGATAAATATTTAGTCAATAGTTTGAAACTGTTACCTCAAGAGAAGTTACTTAAATCAGGTTATAAATTAAACTTAAGTTATAGTTTGCATAGATAAGCACGGATACCAACGTATTGCCTTTTTTCTTTTTCTCTCATGAATATGCTATAAATACTTTTTTACATGTCTTTTTTGGTAAAATTAAGTATATTTGTAATATGTATTTGATATGTACAATTATTATTTTCTAAGGGTTAAAAAGTTCAGTGATTTATGCTTAGGGAGTGAAGCCGTCTGCGGTTAGGAAATGTACTCCCTCATCATTTGGTGTCTGATTTGATGACACAGTTCAGAAGGTGGTACGTAGTCTCTCCTCAGAATCCATTTGATACTAAAACTTTTAATTCTTAAGCAAAATAGAAGTCACCTTATGAGCTTATGAAGCATTTAAAACGTCATGAATTTTTAAAGCTTGGAATAGTTTTTAAAAGTCATAATCTTCCTAAAGGTCCTAAGATAAATTAGAAAACACGACATTTCAGCTGCTCCAGTCTGATGACAAACTGTCATTTAATAGGCTGCCCGTGTTGATGTGTCAGGAGCTCCTAGAATTGCTAGTTATCTAAAACACAGGGCTGCTCCTGTCGTCTTCCTCAAGTGTAAAGTGTTCCTCCTTGCTTCAGGTATACAGCCCTGATTTAAGCGGTATCTGAGTTACTTTATTAAATTTAGCATTTCAAAAAAATTTCTGAGGCTGACAGAATGAGTAGAACCAGTTATTTGATTTTAACTATCTGTTATATCTCAAATCTTGACTTTTTTTTTTGATAGGATTGTAGGACTTCCTTGTCAGTGTCAGCGTTACGCTCAGTCACCTAAGCTAGACTTCTTGACTCTCTATCACCAGTGAGTCAAAAATGGAGTCTTCCCCCTAAGAGCAGTCAGTTTTACCTCCTCCTGAGAAACAACTTTAGTACATACTATCTTTAGCCTAAAATGCCTGTCGTAATAGGCCCGCAGTGAATGTTTACTGAGCAAGATCCCATCCAAACGCTCCAGCTCTCAAGAGACTTCACCCTGGCTCTGCTGCACTTGGCTACCTACCTCTGTCCCCACTCTCTGTCTAGGTACACTCACTTCTGAGTACTCCCCGTTCCTCGTGTGTGCCGTTACGTGTTCCCACACAGGCCCTTTGTACAGGTTGTCACCCCAGGGTCTGGTGCACTTGCCCACCTTCCTCTGTCACCACTCTCCCCCTGGGTACCCTCACTTCTGAGTACTCCCCATTCCTCGTGTGTGCCGTTACGTTTCCCACACTGGCCCTTTGTACAGGTTGTCTTCTCTGTCTAAGATATAAAACGCCTCTACCCTTCCCTGCCTGGCTGAAGTAGCACTTCTTCAGAGATCTTCGTCGTTGCCTCTGATACGCTGCCATAGCTCCTTGCAGCACTTAGTGTGTGTTCCTTTGAGAACACCTGTTGAGCAAGTAACGCGTGTCTCTGTGAGCCTGCTGCTGTGCTAGGTGATGAACAGGAAGCGGACCCTGCAGTTGAAAAGTACCATCTATTAGACAGCACAGAGCTTGTATCAATTACCCGAGTGTCTGACGCCTCTCCTAGTATTTGAGCCCTTGAAGACCAGGACCATTGTCTTTTTGTTTTTTTAAATGCCATCCTTAGCACTGGATTATTAGATGAGTTTTTAAAAATGAGCTTAAGCCTAAGAAGGGACCTTAGACATGTAATTTGGCCACCTTATTTTACACATTTATATATTTTAAAAACAGAAAGACCTGAGGAAAGGTTATAGGAACTGCCCAGATGAGCTCAGTGGCAGAAGGATTGGAACCTGAGGTCACTCGGTGTCTCATGGATCACCTTGTAAAGTTGACCATGATTCGGCTTATTCGGTGGCTTGCATGTGCTTCTAAATGAAGATTGATTAAGGAGAAGAGGACACTTCCTCAAGTGGCTTGTTAAGAAACTTAGGACAGTGGTTCTCCACTGGGGGCATTTTGGACTGTCAGGGACGTTTGAAAATGTCTGGAGACATTTTTAATTGCCACACCTTGGGGTGGTGCCACTGGCATCTAGTTGGATAGAGGCCAAGAATCTTGCAAAATGTCTGCAATGCACAGTGTCAATGGTGTCAGGGTTGGGAAACCCCGAGTTCGAAGATACTAGAAAGGAAATTGAGTGGAAGGTGAGTTTGGTTAAGAGTAGTTGAAATTAACTGGAGACGGAAAGACAGCAAAGCCGGAACTTAGCGTGGGTGGTTAGTTGTCCATAAGAGAGAAAAAGGAAGAAATGACAAGTGTGGGATCCAGCAGTTTCTGTCACTGGCCACCATCTGTTATGGCAGGTCAAAATCAGGAAACCTCTCTGCGTGCGTAGGGTGGGAGTTTGGCTGGTCTTATGAATATTTGCAAGTGTGTATCTGAAAACCGAGAAACATCTATGCAAGAAAAATAAAAGTCCATACTATGTGGATAAATATTTTTAAAGCAATAGGTAAGTTTATATCCTCACCAGCTTTGATTTTTCTCAGGAGCACATGGATGAAGTATGCTCTTCTCAGCTTCTAACTTCAGTAAGACGCATGGTTTTGACCCTTACCCAGCAAAATGATGAGAGCAAAGAGTTCGTAAAGTTTTTTCATAAACAACTTGGGAGTATATTACAGGTAAGAGTTTATACTTATACGTTGGCGAGTTTTAACTTACCAATTTATATCCCCTAGTAGGGTTTTTTTTTTTGAAACCGTTTTCTGGCATTTCATAATTTATTTTTTCAGGTGGGTAGCCATTGTAGCATCAGTTTGAAATGATGTGTTACTAATTTTTAGGTTATTCTTTACTTGATTTAAAAAAAAAAAAAATTGCAGTGGGGCGTGTGTCTTCACTTTAATCATCTTTAAGGCTCATGCTAACTTTAATAAGATTTGATTGTTTTGAATTTTCTCTTAACAAATAAGAACATTTCAACTTTGAAATGCTTGGGAAGTAGTTTCTGATATTTTCTAAAATGACTTTTAACTAATCTGGGAATATTAAAAAGCCAGAAGCCAGCTGTTGATTGTGGAGACTCTTTAAACTGTAAGAGTAACCTTAAATTACGCTGAACCTCTGGCCGTCGACCTGGGGCACTTTGGCCCCGGGAGACGTTTGGCGACGTCTGGAGATGGTTGGTGGTCAGCCTCGTGGGAGAGAGAGCGGCGCTGGCACCCACGGGTCTAGAGGCCAGGGATGCGACCAACTGTCCCGCAGTGCACGAAACTGTCCCCCAAGCCAAGCTTCATGTGGCCCCGGGTGTCAGTAGTGTGGAGACTGAGAGATGCCGAGTCAAGGGTACCTTACTGCTCCACATAGTAAACATCTTCACAGTTAAACTCACCCGTGCATTCTCCCAGAGAGATCATTCAGTGATGTGTGCTGTCACTCCAGACCCGAAATACTTTCTTTTCATCTTTATTACAGAATTTACCTGTAGAACTTTGCCTCGCTTTGTATGCTTGTGTTTCAGTTGGTTCTATATACAGCGTTGGACTTTGTGTGGTAACCTCCAAAACCCCGGGCTCCATGCAGGTTTCCATCAGTGTGCTTCTCCATTTGGTTGGCATCAAGACTAAAGTGTACATTGCAGGGTCCAAGCTGTCCCGGCCGTACTTAGTCTGATCGTACTGACGCGTGATTTGTAAGGGGTATAATATGTCTCTGGGGATTTGCACTGTTTGAAAAACTTCAGGGTAATTTTTAGATAAATGTATTTGTCTAAATTTAACTTTGCTAGCTTATACCTACAGGAAGAAATAACTCCATTTTAGGGTCAGGCTGAAACAAATTGTTCATAATATAAATATTTTTTGTTTGTTAAGATCCATGCAGCCCTTCCCCAGTTTTGCCTACTGTTATCACAAAATGTAGATGATTCCAAAGCTTTAATTTGGAAATAAGATTTTTTCCCCTAAGTCTCAGAAAATCTGACTTTTTTTTTAGCTTCTGAAAAAAATTTTTTTAAAACTAGAGTGACCGGTTGTCGTATGTAAAGGGGGAAACTTGAAGTACACCAGCAGTACCATTTAAATGTGGAGGACTTTGTATTCTCCTGTTTCATGGCACTTACAGCTTATTATTGTAGTATGTGTCTGTCTCCTGGTATGGTTGGAAGTCCCCGTCTCGTGCCTAGTATTTACATGAAATAGGGACTGACAGATGACCATTTGTTCTTTTCCTCTCCTTTTATATATTGGTTAAAGCAAGACTAGCTATATCCTTACCTAGAAATAGTCTTTAATGATACTAATTTGTCTTTACTTAGTAACAGTAGCCATTAGTTTTCAGCTTTTCAGTACTTGAAATTAATAAAATGGTTTTTCTCTTGGTGAGTATTATAATGTAAACCTTTAACGTCATCAGTATTGCTTTACCTACAATTGAAACTTACTGTGATCTTAAGATAAAATTATATGGTTTATCTTTGAATAGGACTCACTTGCGAAATTTGCTGGGCGAAAACTGAAGGACTGTGGAGAGGATCTTCTTGTTGAGATATCTGAAGTGTTGTTTAATGAATTGGCTTTCTTTAAGCTCATGCAAGATTTGGATAACAACAGTATAACTGTTAAACAGAGATGCAAAAGGAAAATAGAAGCAGCTGGAGTGATACAGTCTTATGCCAAAGAGGTAAATGACATTCATTTTGGTTTTAGGAATATTCATAATTAGCATATAAATATTTCCCTGATCATTATTAATAATTAAAATCATACTTGGCCTCAGCAGAAGTAGTTATATTTGAGGAATATCTGTTAACAGATTATAAATCAATATACATGTTAGTTTCATACTGAATCTCAGGAGTAGTAGCAGTGGCTAAAGATCAGGAATATAGACAGGAACTGATGCTGAATTTGTATTGTCAGATATCCAGTTCACATTATTGTCACTGTTACTTAGGTCTGCAAAGAGGAAAGAAGGACTGCTCCTTAACCAGCTGTCTGTCATGGCTGTAAACCCTGTGAAAACCTGTTGCCAACAAGTTGATTCTGACTCATAGGGACCCTATAGGACAGAGGAGAACTGCCCCGTAGGGTTTCTGAGGCTGTAATCTTTGTGGAAGCAGATTGCTGCATCTTTCTCCCTCAGAGCGACTGATGGGTTTGAACCGCCGACCTTTTGGTTAACAGCCGAGTGCTTTAGCCACTGCGTCACCAGGACTCCTTGCCATGGCTATAGCCAACCCCAGGAGATCCCAGAGGAGTATATAGCACCTGGAGATTGCACCCAGCCAGCACACACACTTGCTTACCAACCCAGGGTTTGGCTTGAAATCCCTGTAGTTCCTCAGACTCTGTTACACTGATCATCACATGGGAAATTAAGTGGATTTTTCCACCTCAACTTGAGACACTCCAGGAAGCGTTTTCTCCAGACCCGCGCTCTTTTTCTTGGCCCTTTGATCTTGAGAGGGAAAGGAGGCCACGTCCCCAAACAGAAGGAGACAGCCGCTCTTCCTTAAAGTCTAGAGAAGAGAGTCGCCGTCTGTAGCACGGGTCAGTTAAGGTGGGAGGGGCAGTTTAGGGAGCATAGAGAAGGCTGGAGTGGCGGGAGCACATTACATGAGGTGATGAGAGTGTGGGAAGCCAAATAAGGGGGCCTTGGAAACGGGGGTGGGGGAGGCCTTTTATTCTAAGTATGATGGAAATGCGTGGGAGAGTCCCAGATAGGGGAGTGGCATAGTCTGATTTACAATTTAAAATGTTCCTCTGGATACCGTATTGAACTGGGTTTGTAAGGCAGGAGAGCTGGAACCAGGGAGACCAGTTGTAAGGTTTGTTGCAATAGTCCAGGTAATGATATATATACGTAGATTTGGGTATACAACAATGAACATACATTCTGATGGTTGAACCAGTAAGGAATTCCAATGGTTTAGATGTGGATGAAGAGGATAAGCAAAGAGTCAAGGCTGATGCCAGTTTTCTGGCTTGTGGTGCCATTTGCTGAGATTGGGAAGACCGAGGGAGGATTGGGTTTGGAGAGAAGGGAATCAGGATTTCTCTCTTGGACTTAGTAAGCTTAAGATGCTTCTTATGTATCCAAGAAGAAATCGGGTGGGCATGCTGCGTTTTGTTCTGTTGATACAATAGATTTAGATAAAATAGGTGGATATACATTTCTAAGAAAGCATTCAGCTCTTTGGATGATGGTGAAAAATGCAGCATTTGTTAAAGTTTACTGAATAACTAGCACGTATTGCATGTACAGAATTTGTTACCCTAAATTCTGTGTAATTGGTTTGCTTATAGGCCAAAAGGATTCTTGAAGGAGATCGTGGCTCACCTGCTGGAGAGATTGATGATGAAGACAAAGTACGTGCTAATTAATTTGTGCCTAATAATAATGCTTTTGAAATAAAAAAGTAAATGATTTAAGCAAATTTTACCTTAATGTTTGAGAGCAAAGTATATCATCAGATGTCCTTTCTTCTGACAGATCTTTACTTTTCTCCTTTTAAAAATAACTAATTCACCAACATAGACAACATCTGGGCCATAAAACACATCTTAACAAATTTAAAAGAATAGAAATATACTATGCTCTCACAATAGAATTAAACCAAAAATGAATAACTGAAGAATAGCTAGACAATCCCCAAATATTTGGAGATTAAACAACATAATTCTAAACAGCAGATAGGTGAACAAAGAAGTAATTTTAAAGTATTTTGAATTATGAAAATGAAATATAATTTGTCAAAATTTGTGAGATGCGGTGAAAAACCGTGCTTAGAGGGAAGTTTATAGCATTGAATGCATACTTTAGAAAAGATTGTTAAAAATCTAAGCTTCCACTTTTAAGAAACACACAAAAAAAGAGCAAATTAAATCCAGAGTAAGCAGAAGAAAAGAAATAGTACAAATTGGAGCCAAAATCAATAAAATTGAAAACAAGACATTAATAGAGCAAATCAAAAAAATCAAAAACTGGTTCTTTGATAAGATCAGTAAAATTGATAAACCTTTATCCAGACTAACCGAAAAGAAAAGAGAGAAGATACAAATTATTAGTATCAGAAATGAAAGGGGAAGTATCATGGACCTTAAAAGGGTAATATTGGAGTATTACGAACAACTCTGTGGCAACAAATTTGGTGACTTAGATGAATTGGATGAATTCCTTGAAAGACACAATCTACCAAAACTCACACATGGAAAAATAAGATAATCTGAATAGGCCTATAGCTGTTAAAGAAATTGCAGCAACAATTAATAACCTTCCCAAACAGAAAGCATCAGGTGCAGATTGTGTCACTGGTGAATTCTACCAGGCATTTAAAGAAGAAATAGTACCAATTCTCTACAAGCTCTTCCAGAAAATAGAAGTAGGGAGAACACTTTCTAACTCATTCTGTGAGGCCAGCATTATTGTAATACCGATACTAGTCAAAGACATTACTAGGGAGGAAAATTACAGATCAGTTTCTCTCATGAACATAGATACAGAAATTCTCAATAAAATAAATCGGCAAATCAAATCTAACAATGTGTAAAGAAAGTTAAACACTACAACCAAGTGGGATTTATTCCAGGTATATCAGGCCTGGTTCAACATTCAGATATCAATTAATGTAAGTCATCACATCTAGTTAAAGAAGAAAAATTATATGATCCTATCAGTAGATACAGAAGAACCATCTGACAAAATCCAGCACTCATTCATGATGAAAATTCAGCACTTTAGGAAAAGAGGGGATCTTCTTCAACTCAGTAAAGAATGTCTTCGGAAGACCTCTACCTAATAGCATACTTAGTGATGAGAAACTAGGTACTTTCCCCTGAGGATCGAGGAGATTACAAGGGTGGCCCCTCCCACCACGCTTAACATCACACTGGAAGTCCTAGCCAATGCAGTAAGGAAAGAAAGTGAAGGGGTACAGATTAGGACAGAAGAAATAAAACTGCCTTTGTTCATAGCTGACAGGCGTGTCTGTGTAAAAAATCCCAAACAATCAGCAAAAGAAAGTCTCAAGCTAATAAGCGATTATAGCAAGGCTGAAGGATACAAGGTTAATATATAAAAGTCGATTGCTTTCCTGTGTACCAGCAGTGAGCAATTGGAATTTGAAATTTAAAACAACACCATTTACATTAGCAAAAATAAAACAGGTATAAATCTAATAAGATATGTACGTACAAGATCTATATGAAGAAAACTACAAAAGTCTGATGAAAGAAATCAAAGATCCCAAGTGGAGAGATAATGCATGTTCATGGGTAGGAAGGCTCAATGTTGTTTAGATGTCGGTTTTTCCCAGCATAGCTTGAAAGCAATCGCAGTTAAAGTCCCAGCAAGTTATTTTGTGAATATCAAAGTAGAAAGATGGAAGACCCAGAATACCCAGCAATACTGCAGGAAGAACAAAGTTGGAAGACAGCCACTACCCAACTTTAAGACTTACTATAAGTGATCAAAGGAGCCTTGGTGGCTCAGTGGGTCAGCACTCGGCTTCTAACCAAAAGATTGGCAATTCAAACCCACCAGCTACTCCGCAGGAGAACGATGTGGCGGTCTGCTTCCATAAAGATTACAGCCTTGAAAACCCTATGGAGCAGTTCTACTCTGTCCTGTAGGGTCTCTATGAGTTGGGGTCGATGCAGCGGCAATGGATTTGGTTTGTTTTTTTACTAAGTGATCAGGACGGTGGTATCAGCAAAAGAATCGACAAATAGATTAATGGATCAGAATAGAGAGCCCAGAATAGACCCACACAAATATAATCAACTGACCTTTGACAAGGAGTAAAGGCAGTTCAGTGGAGAAAGGATAATCTTTTCAACAAATAGTGCTGGAATAGCTGGACGTCCACACACACACACAAAAAAAAGTGAATAGACACAGAGATTACATCTTTCACCAGAATGAACTTAGAATGGGTCACAGACGTAGAGGTTAAATGCAGAACTATACACTTCCAGAAGATAACATAGGAGAAAATCTCAGCACCCTGAGTTTGGCAGTAGATTTTTTATTATTTTTCTATAAAAGAAGAAATTTGTAAGTTGGACTTCATTGAATTAAAGAACTTCTGCCTTGTAAAAGACACTATTAAGAGTATGAAAAGACAAGCCACAGGCTGGGAGAAAATACTTGCAAAACATACGTCATACAGGATTTATATTTAAGCTATAAAAAAAAACCTCTAAAACTCAACATTAAGAAAACAGAGAACTCAAAAAGTGGGGAAAAGATCTGAACAGACACCTCAGTAAACAAGATATACAGATAGCAAACTAAGAATGTGAAAAATGCTCAACAACATACATGTTAGGGAAGTACAGATTAAAACACCACGATCCGGCTACACACCCATTACAGTGGCTAAAATCCCGAACACCGGTAAACCAAATGCCGGTGAAGATGGGGAGCACCGGAGACTGTCGTCCATTGCTGGTGGGAATGCAGAGTGATAGAGCTGCTTTGGAATACAGTCTGATAGTTGCTTATAAAGCTCAACTTACACTTACCATACAGTCCAGCAGTTGGTCTCCCCGGTATTTAGGCAAATGAATTGAAAGCGTGTCCACACAGAAACCTGCGTTTGAATGTTTATAGAAGGTTTATTTATGGTTGCCAGAAATCGGAAGCAACCAAAGTGTCCTTCAGTAGGTGAATGGATAAGTAAGTCATGGTACCTCCACAATGAAGTCTTAATTCACTGATGATAAGAAATGAGCTATCAAGCTATGGAAAGACATGGAGGAACCTTAAGTGCATATCTGCCAAGTGAAGGAAGCCAGTCTGAAAATGCTGCATTCTATGATTTCAACTCTGACCCTCTGGAAAAGGTAAAACTAGAGCCCGTGCAAAGGTCTGGGGTTCAGGGAGGCTAGCGGAGCAGTGAAGGAATGAGTGAGTGAAGCCCAGGGCACTTTTAGGGCAGTGAAGCCATTCTGCATGATACTGTCATGGTGGACACGTAATACCATGCGTTTGTCAAAACCCGTAGAGCTGTGCAACGTAAAGAGTAACCCTGATGTAATCTGTGGGCCTCGGTTAATAGTCGCGTATCGGTGTCGGTGTATCCGTTGTAACACGTGTACCGCCCTCTCATGCAAGACGCTAATAACGGAAGAAACCGCAGCGGGCGTGAAGAGGGCGTGTGGGAACTCTCTCTGCTTTCTGTACAGTTTCTCTGTAAACCTAGAACTGCCCTAAAAGACAGTGTATTAAAAACAAAGCTTTTAAAAACAGATTTTTTTAAATTGTTTTACAAGATAATGAACATTATAATTCTTATGACAGACTCGCTGTGTGCATTTTTAAAATGCACACGAGGAGTTAATCACTCAGGTTTGTCTTGGGTAGGACAAGGACGAGACTGAGACAGTCAGACAGACTCAGACGTCTGAGGTACGTGACGGTGAACGCCCCAAAAATGGGACATCTGACCCTTCTGACCAAGAGGAAGATGAAGAAAGCGAAGGATGTCCAGTGTCGATTAGTAAGTTTAAAGGCTTTGTGCTGTTTGTATACATTACTTCTCTGTAGGAGCCCTGGTGGCACAGCAGTTGAAGTGCTCGGCTGCAAACCAGAAGGTCAGCGGTTGGAACGCACCAGCTGCTTCATGGGAGGAAGATGTGGCAGTCTGCTTCCGTAAAGATTACAGCCTTGGAAACCCTGTGGGGCAGTTCCACTCTGTCCTTGAGGGTCGCTGTGAGCTGGAATGGACTCGACGGCCGTGTGTCTTTATAGGTCACTTTTCATGACAGTTTGGTGGAGTGTAAAAGAGTATAGAGTTTCGTGCCAAACGACTGAATTCCAGATTCGCCTATCTCTGTGACCCTTTCTACATGTCCTTGCTGCCCTGGTTTTCTAGTACTCACTGTTTTGAAGATTTTAGATATTGTATGTAAAACTCCTACGCAATGTAGGTGTACAATAAAGGGTAATTACTAAGTGCTGAAGTTTACTAAAAGTTATGTGTTAATCAATGTAGATTTGTCTAAAGCCGAAACTCAGGCTCTGACTAATTATGGAAGTGGAGAAGATGAGAATGAGGATGAAGAAATGGAAGAATTTGAAGAGGGGCCTGTAGATGTCCAGACTTCGCTTCAGGCCAACACTGAAACTACAGAAGAAAATGAACCCGAGCAGGTATTCCAGTGGAGACCACCGTGCCTTCCACCAGCCTTCCTTTAACTACGAGAAAGCAGATCCTTCTTACAGATGCCAGCTTTTACAGCTTCCCCGTTCTGATTTGCATGAATACAGGCCGCTTTACTATACTTATTTAAACCTGAAACACTAGTTTTGTATTCAGCAATATTTAAATTTAAAGCACTTTAATCTTTTATATTTTTGTAAAAAGCCTTAAAAACTATGAGATTACTTCAGGAAATCTGAGTTTTTAATTTATCTTTTGTATTTTTATCCCACGGAAGTAGTTCTACAAGTCCTGTGGGGCCAAGTCAGAGGCTCCTAACAAAAAAAAATCGTTCCCTCCCCGCCCTCACCCCCCACCGCTTCATCCTGCCCCAGAGGCAGTACTTTGAATGATTTCTTCTGCTACTTTATATTTCTGAATATTATGCATATATGCCTGTGTATTTCTAAATATTAATGCATATATGAAAAAGGTCTGCTCTGTAACACGGGGTTGCCACGAGTCAGAATTGACGGCAACAGGTTTGGGCTTTTTAATGTGTACATTATCGTATATATTATCATTATCTACTGACTTGTTAATGGTAGATGAGGGTTTTTTAGGTCACTTAGACACCCCTTGTTCCCCTTATTTATGATTTCATTACCGTTTCCCCTTCTCATTTAATTATATCTTTATTGGTTAGATTTAACCAAGTATTTAGATTTAACTATTGTTTATAAAGTAGACCGACTGCTGAGCCAAGTAAATATTGTTTATGACTTAGCCTTGCACATTTTTTTCTCCTGAACTCAGTATTTGTCCTAATTTTTTATTTACTTAATTTTCTTGAACATATGCCCAGGTCTTTGCCTTGCCCTCCCCCAGCTACACAAACCTCCTTGCAGAATTTTCTACATGGCCCAAACTGGCCGGGCCCTGTATTCCCTCCTGGAGTGCTCCGCCCCCTTCCTGCCTTCCAGATGTGGCTGTTCCCTGGACCTGCTGAGAGACAGCAGCCCGCAGTGCCTTTGTGACTCTTCTTTTGTCAGTCCTTGTTCTGAGACCCCATCTGTGTCTCTCTCTGTCTTGCTGTATTGCCTCATTTTGATGGAGCACGTCTTCCAGTACCTCTCTGAGAAAGCGTGCATAAGAGATAAGTGTTTTAAGACTTTCTGTGTCTGAGGGAATCTCAATTCTTCCTCACTGAAAATCACTTTCCCTCAGCTCTTTGAAGGCACGGCTTGATCTTGTTTTCAGTGCTGCTCTGGAGAAGTCCGGTGCCTCCCCGAGTCTCATCCTCTGTATTTACCTGTTTTTCCCTCCTTCCTCCAGAAGCTTTTCTCCCCAGGAGTTCCGAACTTTTACAATGCGACACGTTATTGCAGGTCTTTTCTCATTCACTGTGCTGGGTACTGGCTGGCTCTTTTAAAACTATATGTATATCATGTCCCTCAGTTTGGGTAATTTTCCTTTTGTTGATTTCTCCTTTCTAGAGTTACTATCGCCATGTATTAGCCCTCGTGGATGGGCCTTTTAATTTTCTGCTCTCTTCCTTTTGTGGTTGATTTCTCCTTCCTAGAGTTACTATCGCCATGTATTAGCCCTCATGGATGGGCCTTTTAATTTTCTGCTCTCTTCCTTTTGTGGTTGATTTCTCCTTTCTAGAGTTACTATCGCCATGTATTCGCCCTCGTGGATGGGCCTTTTAATTTTCTGCTCTCTTCCTTTTGTGGTTGATTTCTCCTTCCTAGAGTTACTATCGCCATGTATTCGCCCTCGTGGATGGGCCTTTTAATTTTCTGCTCTCTTCCTTTTGTGGTTGATTTCTCCTTCCTAGAGTTACTATCGCCAGGTATTAGCCCTCGTGGATGGGCCTTTTAATTTTCTGCTCTCTTCCTTTTGTGGTTGCTTCTCTTTATCTTTCTGTTTTACTTCCTGGGAGGTCTCCTTGACCATAGTACTTGTATGACATTATCTTTATTTCAGCTGTAATAAATTAATTTCTGAGACCTTTTCTCCTGATTGTTAGTTTTTTATTAAAAAAAAACAAAAACAAAAAACAACCCGTTGCCGTTGCATTGATTCTGACTCATAGCGACCCTGTAGGACAGTAGATCCGCCCCATAGGGTTTCCACGGAGCGGCTGGTGGATTCAAACTGCTGACCTTTTGGTTAGCAGCCGAGCTCTAACCACTGCTCCTGTTATTGCATGAAAGCAGTATCTTCTCTCATCCACCCGGAGGTTCTTCAAATGTCTGCTGATTCTTGGGTGCCTATATCAAAGAATGATGCGCCAAGAAGCCGGTTGGGAACTTTGACTTTACTATAGGGCAGCTGGGGAGACAGCCAGCTTTTCAGTAGACACCCCTGAATATCTCTGTCAGTCTTGTCTTTGGGGTGGTTTAGTTTCTCCAGCAGAGGGTCCTCCAGCCACCTCCTGCCTGGGGTTTATGAGCTTGGCTGCTGGTATTCTGGAGCTAGGTATGGGAAGGGGCTGCGGGCCCCACTGTGTGCAGTGTGACACCGTATCCTGTCATCATTGGTGCTTTATGCACTCCCACCCTCCGCCCCAGGCCCCCACCCTGTGCCCCAGGCCCCCACCCTCCGCCCCAGGCCCCCAGCTCTGATGTCCAGTAGTTCATTTTCTCCAGTGTAATCCTCCATTTTCTGTTGGGGTTGGAGGAGGGATCGTAGCTATTCACCTTTTCCTTCAACAGGTTCAAGCAACCACCCCCTCCCCCTTTTCATCCCTCACCACCACCCCCATACTCCTTCCTTTCTAGAATCTGGCACTGCCGTGTGTGGATGAATCTCAGCTTCTGTTATCTCCCCCGGCCGGCCCCCGCTGAAGGCACTGAGCTCTGTCCATCTCTCTCTCTCCTGGAGAGTTCCTCTTCTTTCCACTTACCATCTACATGCGTGTGCTTCAGAGGACGGTGTCTGATGGAGTCTAAGAAACAGTAATCACAATAGTGGAATATGTAATATTGCAGTTCTCTGTGTCATTTTGAGGTGGTTTATGAAGAAAAGGAAACCTTTTTACTTAATCCATCTTGAAATTGTAACCAGAGCCTCCTTGAAACACTTTATGTTTTAAAATTATTTTCTATGAAGGTCAGGTTGGACAAAACCACACAGTCTGATAACCAGCTCCCATATAGTCACCTTATCTTTTAGGTGCTGTTAAAACACGTCTTTTCAAACCTTCTAGGTTCTACAGCATGACTCCGAAAAAACAGCAGACAGCAAAAATATCCCAACAGAACAAGAACCCACTATTATTAAAGGTAAGAAATCTGAAGTGTTTAGTTTTAAGATTATCTAATGTGCCTTTTATGTGCTTTAAAAATAAAAAATCTACATTCTTAGCGAACGTAAGTTTGGAGGCATTTTGGACGTGATGTATGCCTCCTCCACCCCCAAACACGCTTTGGGGGAAACACAAGAAGGCTGTGTTCTGCACACAGCTGTTAAAGAAAAGTAGGCAAGGTAAGGGCACCAGACAATCCTTTAGCCCTTTTGTACTTGGATACAAGTGTGGGGAATTATTTTTAGATGTCTGTTCCTGAGACCCACACCTGAAAGTGACTTATTAGAAATGGGATAGATTTCAGGGATCTGATTTTTAAAACAGCCCCAGATGAATCTGGTCAACTAGATTTGAGAACCACTGTACAGAAAATTTCTGTCTGCCTTTCCTTTTGAATCTTGCGTGTCTTGATTACACTCACACGTGCAGATTCTCTTCTGGTGGTGTAGTCTAGAGCCCACATGAACAACTGCAGAAGAAGACTAATGTTCAGACTTTGTTTGGGTGACAGATGACCAGGCTGGCACTCCTGTGAAACCCTGTTACCTCCATATCTCGGAAAATGAGCAGCCTCCAAGTAGTGCTGCCCGGAAGGACTCACTGGTCACCCCTGAATCATGGAAGCAGCCTGACCCTTTGCCATTACCGTTCCCTGAAGGTGACACCTTAGTGCCGGGAGTCAAAGAGGCGAAATCTGCCCAGGAAACTCCCGAGAGCTCTCTGGCGGGCAGTCCTGACACCGAGTCTCCTGTGTTAGTGAATGACTACGTACGTATCCTTGTGTTTCCGCGTGGTTTTGTCTTCGTTCCTGTGCCTTTGCTGGTGAGCATTGTCCGCATACAAACCCAGCTCACCTTGAACTGTCAGAAGAACTTTTGTTGTTGTTATTCAGCCTTATTTTAAACTTGAGCAGAAGGGTGATAGTGAATTAAGGTGACTATCTCGAAACCTAAAAACAATTCTACTTTTTTATAATTTTGAGAACAAGAGACCTGAGTTTTAGGCGGCCATCTAGAGAGTGTTTAAGTTCAGATACATCTGAGATAATACAAATATGATACATGAATCATCATTAATCTCTTACACTGCTCATGCTTAACTTCTCAACTATTTAGACATTTCATAAATCTTTGACAAACCCAAATGTTTACATTTTGAATGGGAAATAAAATCATTTGACAGCAAGAGAGTCCTTATCCCTATATGGTGAAAAAAGAGGAAAATATATTAGGAAATCTGCACTTAAACGATAGTAGGTTAGTTTAGTTTTACTTTAGACCTTTGTTTCAATTTAATTTTATAGGTAATAGGTTATTTTTTGGATCCTTGGGTTGTATATGTTTTACGTAGTTTCTCTTGTCAGTAAAGAGGCAGGGATTTATAACTTAGTATCAGAACCAAGTAAGTACTCATAGATGCAAGGAATGTGCTTCCTGCTGTTGATTAGCCCCGATTCCTTTTCTTAAAGATGTATTCACGGTTATGGTTTCATAATTCCTTTTGTCAAAAAGAAAGCATATATTGCTTCAAAAGCATTATTAGAGAGAGTAGTTCTTTTAACTCAGTTTTGTTTGCCTCAATGCCAGTAAAATTATGCATTTAAAACTCTGAAAGATAGCCGCTAGATTTATTCTCATCGTTTGATCCGTACATCGAGTTGTTATAGGAGACACTGAATTAAAATTAACTTGAAGTTAGATAGATGATAGGGGACCTTACATTGGAATTTCAGGTGGGCGACTTTAATGAGGGTTTTTGTGCAGGACAGGCTGATGCAGATTAACCTGGTGACTGTATAAGCGACCTCGTCAAGGAGCCACGTCAGGTGGCCGCGCTCACCTGTCGTCGTTAGGTACCGTCAAGTCGATTCCAACTCATAGCATCCCCATGTGACGGGTGTCTAGGCTGGAATCCTCACAGGAGCAGATCGCCAGGTCTTTTTTCCTGTGGAGCCTCTGGGTGGGTTTGAACCACTGACCTTTCAGCTAGCAGTAGAGCACTGAACAGCTGTACCACAGGGCTCCTTTTCCATTCTCCTAGAAGTATGAAATAAGAGCTGAATGAGAGTAGGGTGGGAGAGAAAAAGAAAAACATAAGGTTTGCTTCTTAGGTAACTGGTAGAAAGATGATACTATTAAAAATTAGGAAGGAGAACTAGCAGAAGAAAAGAATTTGAGTTTCGGAAAAACAGTTTGAGGTGATCACAAAAATGAGTTACTACATTCACATCTCATCTTTTCATTTGAGTCTCAGCAGAGTTAATGTTGAAAAGTTTGCAAATGCTTACTTACAATTTGCTGGATTCAGTTCTGATGCATTGTGTAAGCATGCTAAGAAACAGTGGTTTTTAGAATTATTTTAGCTCTCATGGTAATTACTACTATTTTTCCCTTTAGCCTGCGTAAATTGGCCTTTTTTTAATAAAATGGGAACAAGTATCTTACTAATACATGCTTTAATAGCTTTTACTTGGAGTTATTTTTTATTTTCTAAGGCAATATAGTAATGCTAGATGATAAATTTCTTGAGAATATGACTATCCTTGTATTTATCTTTACCAAAGAGAGTTTGTAACTGTCAGTGGGGAAAGAGTTTAAATAAACAGTATTAGGTGACAAAGAGATGTTTTCAAAATTGGAGGGGACAAAAGGTTAGTCCTTATAGGCAAAGGATAAATACATGAAAATGCTGACGTTGTTTTCTAGGATTAACAACTATCTTACCAATACATTATTGGGTCCTGTTCTTGTTAAAGGAGCCCTGGTGGTGCAGTGGTTAAAGCACTCAGCTACCAACCAAAAGGTCGGCAGTTTGAACCCACCAGTCGCTGTAGGGGAGAAAGATGTGGCAGTCTGCTTCCGTAAAGATTACGGCCTTGGAAACTCCCTACGGAGCAGTTCTTCTCTGTCCTATAGGGTTGCTATGAGTTGGACTTGATGGCAGTGGGTTTGGTGGTTTTCGTTGTTCTTATTAAAGTACACTGTTTTATTCTTTCCTTGAGTTCTGAATTTTTAGCTTATGGTAGAAAATCTAGTTGTTTTATGAGTTATTATATTATCTCACAGTACGTTTTTTTAAACTGATTTTTATGACAAATAAGACTATTGTTTGTAAAACTGATGTAGAAAACCATCAAAGTTTAGTGAGTATAAAAACCTTATTTTTAAGGCATTCCTTTTAAGAACCTCTGCTTTGTAATTCACCTGTGCAGCCTAGAAACTGGACTCAGAAATTCAGATGGGTACAGGGGTTAGAAAGGTAACGAATTGGTGAAGCTAGTGAAGTGTGTGAGAGTAGGTGCCTTGCTACTTGTGTTAAACAAGCATAGCCCCTACCTGGTTATGCCGTCTTCTAAAAAAAGAAGAGCAAACAAAAAAGCTAGACAGGATGCCCACAGCTGCACACACGTGACCCTTCCTGTTAGTCTAGTTTTATTTACAGAGCTGAATATAAGAGAAAACCAAATATGACAGCATTGTGAGGTATACTTACACGTAAGAATCCACTTTATATCTTGCCGTGGATGTCTTTGATTTATATTCAGAGATATTATTACATATAATTTGTTTCTCTTACAGGAAGCAGAATCTGGTAACATAAGTCAAAAATCTGATGAAGAAGACTTTGTGAAAGTTGAAGATTTACCACTTAAACTGACAATATATTCAGAGGTATTTGGCTGTCTTTTCTTTAATTATACTTGTCTTTATAAAACAAGTATTGTTAAGTTGAAAAATGATTCAAATTTTTTATTTTCATTCCAAAGGCAGATATTAGGAAGAAAATGGTAGAAGAGGAGCAGAATAATAATTTATCTGGGGAAATACTACGTGAGACACAAACGGAAGAATTAGCTGGGAATTCTCAAAAACTGAAAGAACCTGGTAAGAGTTACCAGTTTTGATCGTCTTACATTGAAAAACTGTTGAATCTTGATATGATCATTTTGTTTTGTTTTAAAATGTGCTACTTTTCACGGGTACCAGGGAGACTTAAGCCAATTGTTGGGAAGGAAGTAAACTTCTGTGAAAATTTTAGTTTAGTTGCCTAATTTATGAAATGGTAATACCAGATAAATTTTTTTTAAAAAAAGTTTTAAATCTTCGGTTTTAGCAAAGTAATATACACATCTGGTATAAGAGAAAAGGTGCAAAGAGTTAACAGTAAAGAGCAAGAGCCCACTTCTTTAGTGATTCACTTCTTAGTTCTCTAGGAGGAGATTGCTGTAGCTCTGATAGTCTTATATTTCTTCTATGTTAATAAAATTCAGATAATAGTCTCTTTTCCTCCTTATGAAGAGTGAGCATTTAGACTTACTCCTCTTCTCTGTGTTCTTACTGTCTTTGGGTTTCGTGTTTGTTACCTTTGTTATTTTAAATGTACACCCTTTTCTGCTTCTGTCCGGTTTGGTCATTACCTCCCTCCCTGCCCACCCTTTCCTTCTGCCATCTTTGTTCAGTTTTATTTATTCTCTTGCATTATTAAGGTTGGTAAAGTAAGCACAGAGTTCTCCTTTTACTCTTGTTGATGTAGAATAGAGCGTCCTAATAGGCTTCTAATCATAAGGACCGTTCATTGCAGCCAGATGAGAATCTCAGCTTCCTTTTTGAGTCGGAACCAACTTGGTGGCAAATGGAAAACGTTTCTTGCGTCAAAGCCAGAAAGATTCTATGTTCGTTGTCCTCCATCAGTCGCTTTAAAATCGTGTGTGATTTTTTGTTTTGGTTTCTCCTCTCTTCTGTTTGTTGGTCGGGGTTTACTCATTTTTATAGTTATTTTCTTTTTTTATTGTACTTCAGGTGAAGGTTTACAGAGCAAATAGTTTCTCATGAAACACTAGTACACATACTGTTTTATGACATTGGCTAACAACCCCACGACATGTCAACCCTCTCCCTTCTTGACCTTTTTTTTTTCCTTTGGTGAAAATATACATAGCCAAAGATAGACCATTTCAAAAATTTCTACATGCACAATTCAGTGACATCAGTTACGTTCTTCCAGTTGTGCTGCTGTTCTCACTTTAGATGAAGGTTTACAGAACAAAATAGTTTCTCATGAAACAGTAGTACCCATATTTTATGACAATGATTAACAACCCCATGACATGTCCACACTCTCCCTTCTCAACCTTGGGTTCCCTATCACCAACTTTCCTGTCCTCTCCTGCCTTCTAGTCCTTGTCCCTGGGCTTTTGTGCCCAATTAGTCTCATTTTGTTTTATGGGGCTGTCTAATCTTTGGTTGAAGGGTGAACCTCAGGAGTGACTTCACTACTGAGCTAAAAGGGTGTCTGGGGGCCATACTCTCAGGGTTTCTCCAGTCTCTGTCAGGCCAGTAAGTCTGGTCTTTTTTTGTGAGTTAGAATTTTGTTCTACATCCTTCTCCAGCTCTGTCCAGAACCCTCTGTTGTGATCCCGGTCAGAGCAGTCAGTGGTGGTAGCCGGGCACCATCTAGCTGTACTGGACTCAGTCCGGTGGAGGCCTTGGTAGCTGTGGACAGTTAGTCCTTTGGACTAATCTTTTCCTTGTATCCTGTTCTCTTCATTCTCCCTTGCTCCCGAAGGGATGAGACCAGTGGAGTATCTTAGATGGCTGCTCACAGGCTTTTCAGACCCCAGTCAGTCTGATATCTTGACACAGAAACCTTCACCTGTTCTTTTTAAACTGTTTGTGTGTGATCAGGAAGTTGTTCTAGCAGGCTAAATATGGGTTTCCTCTGTAATAACCTTATATTAAAAATAAAATCTTTAATGGAAAAGAACCATATTAAATTCTAATAGGTACTGTCTTACTTCAGTCAATACTTTATAAGGCCTTAATTACTCTTCTGTTTTTCAGAAACAGTGGGAGCCCAGAGTATATGAGACGTCTTCAGAAGCTTATCTAACTCTCTTCACACAGCCAATGCATATATGAAAATGGCACTAAATAAACATCTGTTTTGATCTGTATAAAACTGTTAATTAGTTTGACACTGCGTTTTTGATAGGTGTACTAATTTCTGCCCATGGCAGTTTAAAACATCAGAAATTGAATTCTGCAGATTCAGGCCTTGATACACACTGTGTTTTCCTTTCATTTGCTTTTTTTCTCCCCGTCTTAATCTTTTTACCCCCATTGTGATGTTTCGTAACATTAAATTTAAAATGTAGTTTTAAATAAAGTTTGAACTTGTCTGTAAAGTATCTTTTTGGGAAATTATATACAGCAGGTATTGTATACAGCAGGTCACTATTCTGTATACTTAGGCTGTTGAGAGAAGGAATGGTAAAGAGTCAGAAGTTAGAGAAATGTGCTGTTTATTATAAAGCCCAGCCTGATCTTTCTCATTAGGCCAGGCTCTCAGCTAATGCCAGTGTTGCTGCTGTTGAGTCTGCTGTTCTTTTAAACATCTGCATGGCCTGTTCCTGGAAGAATAGGGCAGGTGATAAAGATATCCAGGATATCTGTAGGTTAGTGTGGAATATATGTATATTAATACTCTATTCAAATTGGTAAAAAGGTTTCGAATCCATGTCTGTGGTACCTGGAACTTAATTATCTATTAGATAAATATTAGTATTTTCCACAATTTCCATTCTTATGTCGCTTTAGACTAAAAAAAGAAAAAAGCTTTATATAATTAGTATTTCTGCACAGACAAGTAACACTGTGAATAGTTTTAAATGAAAAACCAAATTCTTTCCAGTAGGGATTAATAGAAGTAAATTTATATACCAGAGCATTGAGGTTCTGTATACTGTCAGACAGACTTGTCCCTTTAGAGATCATAATCGAAGACCAGAGCACGGCAGCTGCTTTGCGAGGTCATAGGAGATGGCAGGCTCTCAGTGACATATTCAGTAAAGAGAGCTCACAGGACTTCTTCCTCATGAAGCAGGTCAGCTTTTAAAGGTGATTGATAACCCCACACTTGCCGTGTACTCAGGAAGGCTCCATAGATCCAGTTAACAGTTAATCAGTCAACCTTATGGTTCTTCCTTGAATAAAATATGAAGACTTAGTTACAAGTCTTTTAAATTTGGTTACAATTAACTGAAATACCCCACAGGAAAAGAATGTGGTTAGTATTCCTTTAAAATACTTATTTATTCGATACCTCCGTGTGAAACTATGGCCAATCAGGGAATGTTAAATGAAGATTTCCCTAGGAGGACATTTACTGTATCACTGCTTAAATTATGTAAGACATACCTCCAAATTCAACAAACCAATTCAGAAAACAACCATTCCAAAATCAAGAATTCTTAGCCAGTTGGCCTTCCTTCAGGAAGATTGAAACAGTAAGTCACATTATATGTGTACCCAGATTCTACGTTTGTTTTCTAGACTCCGAGCAGGAAGAAGGGGACAGCTGCATTCTGGTACTCAAACCAAGCCTTGCCTACTGTGGCTGTCTCTCTGTGTGTGCCTGTCAGAGACAGATACGGAGGAGGACTCGTACGCCCGTCTGGGTTGTTAGTGTCGTACCTGGGAACCTTATCAAAGTTGTTTGTTTGACTTGTGTTACAGCTGCTGTTACCTAGTCTGTTACTTTCCTTTTTTAGTATATAATTTAGTTTTAAAATGTCTGTGACTTGAGAGCAGGTAACTTGCTTCACATGTTTTCCCCACTAATTAATTGCTAAACGGTTAGGCGTTAAATGCTCTCGTTTGCCTTAATTTTTTAAGTTAAAAATTTGATTAGAGGTAAAGGGAGAAATGGTCAAGATGAGAGAGAGAGAAGCCTGTGCAGGGAGATGATACCTGAGCAGAGCTGGTCGGGTTGGCTGCCTCTTCGCCTTTTGTAGCCCTCACCTTGGATCAACTGCTTTCTCACTGTTAATAAACGTATGTCTTACATACAAGCCTCAGTTGCATTTTCACTGAAATTGACATGTGCAGTTATGCTTTAGAATCCAGAGTTGTGGCTTATGTGACAGTTTTAAATGTTTAAAAAAAAAAATGAAGACATGCGAAATGACGTATTACCTAGCCAGAGAGATTTATTAAACTTGAGATCGTTTTTCCTGTAGTACGGATGTGCTGTAATAAATTGTGGTTGTAATCCCGTTTGGGAATTGGTTCGCTTTGTTAGTGAGGCGGTATTAGTGTGGGGTGTGTCTCAAAGTCCATCTCTTTTGAGATGAAAGAGCAGATGAAGCAAGCAAGAATAAATGGAGGGGAGGAGAACAGCCACATGATGGCCAAGGAATTTAGGAATAGAAGCTGGAAAGAGACGAGGACCTTCCCCAGAGCGGACGCAGAGAGCGCCTTCCTCTAGGGCCAGCACCCTGAATTCGGACTTCTAGCCTCCTAAAGTGTGAGAAAATAATTTTCTGTTCGTTAAAACCACCCACTGGTGGTATTTCTGGTATAGCAGCTCTAGATACCCAAGACGCCCCCATGCTCTGAATAAGGCCAAGCCTACCAGTGGGCACATCCTCCATATAAAGTAACCTGCACCCAGGGCACTGCAAGGGAAACTGCCTGTGTTGATCCTCGGCGGGAGGACTGGCCCTGAGTGCACATTCCAGTTCTACTCTGTCCTGTAGGGCCGCTCGAGTCAGAATCAACTGCACAGAACGACAACAACAGGGCCTGCAAAACCCTGGAGACAAGAATTTAAAGTGGTCGTGCCCTCAGGCCCTGGCAGAAGTAAGTCCCGTCCTCTCTGAAAGACCCCATCATCATCCCAGGCCTCAAAGAATGTCCACAGGTAAGATGCCATGAAAATACATGACCACTGCTAACCGGAAAGGTAGGCAGTTCAAACTCACCAGCCACTCTGGATAGAGAGATGTGGAAGTCTGCTTCCTTAGAGATTACTGCCTTGGAAATGCTGTGGGCCAGTTCTGCTCCGTCCTGTGAGGGCGCTGTGAGTCGCAAATCAACTCAACAGCAATGGGTTTCTTCGTTTTTTGGTCAAAAAATAAGAAAATATACAAGGAAACAAGGCATCACGTACATGTAACCACTGTAAGAACAGGAATTAGGGTATGTTTTTCAAACTTGTAAAGGAAAAAGTGGAATTTTAAAAACATGTCTAAAAGAAGGTAAGAATTCAAAAAAAAAAAAAGAGCCAAGATAATTAGAAGTACAAGTATATCTAAGATAGGAGAATTAAATTCCAATATATCAGTAATTATGGTAAATATACATGGACTAAGTGCTCCAGTAAAAGACTGTTGGATTTGATGTTTTAGAAATAAAGTTGTGTATCTATAATACTGTAAAGTTGAAACTAAAGGGATGTAAAAAGACACACCAGGTAAATATTAACCCCCCCAAACAAACAAAAAACCTGGAAAGCTGTAAATAGCACACAAAATAAATTCAAAGAAATTATAATGGAGACATCTTCACCTCATCATAACACTAACTGTATACACCTAAAAGGTAACCTCAAAATACGTAAAGCAAAAATGGAAACCATAAGGAGAAAGTAAATTGCTGTGTTCATGTGTTGACGGGCCTTTAGGTGGTTTTCACCTTCTGGCTGTTGTGGGAAGTGCGCCAGTGAACGTGAGTGTACAGGTATTTGTGTTTCTGCTTTCAAGTCTTTGGGGGAGCGTCTTAGTTACCTGGTGCTGCTGTAACAAATACCACCCAGGGCTGCCTTCAACGAACAGAAGTTCATTTTCTCACAGTTTAGGAGGCTGGAAGTTCGAATCCAGGCACCAGCTCTAAGGGAAGGCTCTGTCGGCTCTGGGGGAAAGTCCTTGGCTCTCTTCAGCTTCTGTCCCGCGGCTCCTGGGCCATCTTCATGTGGCGTCTGTCTTTCCTCATCTCTGCCTGCCTGCTTCTGTGCCTGGTCCGCTTTTTTTATATTTCAAACGTGATTGGCTGAAGACACACTACACTGATATGGCCTCATTAACATAAAACCTTCTTCCCAAATGGGGTCACATCCACAGGTGTAGGGGTTAGGATTTATAACACATGCGGTTGGGGGAGGGGCTCACAATTCACTCGATAACAGGTATATTACACCCAGGAGTGGACTTGCTGGGTCATATGCTTTCAGTAATGTGGGCTGCTTCTCATCACAAGTGAGTCCTGAAACCATCTTTGTCTCATCTTTCAGCTGTGAAGCACCTGGTCTCTGTTAGGGGCTGGTGGTTTGCTGGTTCTAAGGCTATTGCATCATTCTCACAGTCATTCATTTTTACCTGTAAAAACACAAATCCATTCTCACTTTGCTTCTGTGCGGTGCAGTAAATTACTTAATATGGCCCTTCTAGCCATAGTCTTTGTAACTCACACCAAATGACTGGGTGCGCCTATGCAGATGAGGTGCTTGTGTCCCACCATGGGGATTGGATAGCTTGCTAATAATGTAAATACGGTGCATGGAACCCACATGGTGGTGGGACCATGCAAATAAGGACTATGTAACTCTAGCAAGGGGTTGGTCAGTTTTGGCATCTGTTGAGCTTAAAGGGAGATATGAGGGAGAGAGAGGAGCTGTAACTTGGAAGGCGTGAGAGGCGGCTGCACAGCAGTACCACGCCAGCGCTCAGGTGGGGCTTGCCACCCCTTTGGAGCTAAGAATTGTAACACCTGCCCGAGAAGGCCCAGCAGGGCCCGGCGGCAGAGGGCAGGAAGCCGTCCTGACTGACAAACTGCGTCCTGGGTTGTTACTTCCAAGTTGATCCTGATCCCGAGTGGTATCCTGTTACTTCCCTAGTAAGCCACTTAACTGTAAGTACTGGCCATGAGTTCTGGGAGAACTTGCATGGAATTACGGAGCCCATATTAAGGAGGGAGAGTCCTGAGGGGAGGGGAAGTAGCTGATGTTAGAGATGACAGAGTGGTACAGCAGTGTGGGAAAGGTGGGCATGTGGGACATCTTTAACCTCCGTCTCACGGGAACCAGCTTTGTGCTGTCCTGAAAAGAATTACTCACTCTGATTAGTTACCAATCCCGTTCCTCCGCACTCCCAACCCCAAAGGACACAGGGAAAATGGAAGCCCAAAACTAGAAACGGACTAACCAACCCTCATTCAGCTGAAGAACGTATTTATTTTTATGAAAATGAGACCCGTGTTCTGTTTTTTGCCAACCGTGACCTTCCTCCCCCCACCCCCAGGTATTTTTTGTAAGCTTGCTATGCTATTTTTTTTTTAATATAGCTGTTAAAAAAATTAGCATAATGCACCTTCAAAAATACCTGGGATGGGGGAGGCACGCTTGGCAAAAAAAACCTTAAAACACACGTTATTTGTGTAAAGATATTCTTCTTCACAGATGTCTTTGAATTGAGCCTTTGTTCCTAGCCCAGTGCTGCCTCTTCTGAGAAAGCTAATAGACTTTTCTGAGGGCACAAAAATGGTTGTAACAGTAATAACCAAAGCCAGAGCCAAGAGAATTCTATCCTGCTGCAAATAGCTGCGAAGTCTAGCTTCAAGCTCTTGGATCAACTACACTAACTCTAGCAGCGCTTGCCTGAGGCAATGATTTAATAAATCATCTTTGATTACAATAACTTCCTCCTGTGACCCAGTAGGAACCCCTGGTGGTGTAGTGGTTAAGAGCTACAGCTGCTAACCACAAAGTTGGCAGTTCAGATCCACCAGGCGCTCCTTAGATAAACTCTGTGGGGCAGTTCTCCTCTGTTCTCTAGGGTCGCTATGAATTGGAATCAACTCGACAGCAGTGGGTTTGTTGGGTTTTTTTTTGGTGACCCAGGAAGTAGTCACTGGAAAGGCAGCATGTGTGGCCAGATGTGGAAGCTGTGAGGAAGGGGAAGAAGGGAGGATCCCCTGCTTAACGTCTTTAGATCCATGAAGACAGAGACCTTCCCTTGTCTTTTCTTTTTGGCTCACCATTGTATCCCCAATACCAGCAGACCACCTGTATTTTTTAACATACTCCCCCAAAATAAGTATATATTTAATTTTATTATGCTTTAAGTAAAAGTTTACAGCACAAATTAGTTTCTCATTCAAACATTTAAACACAAATTGTTTTGCGACTTTGGTTGCAATCCCCTGCAATGTGTCAGCACTCTCCCCCTTTCCCTTTCCACCCTGGATTCCCTGTGTCCGTTCGTCCAGTTTTCCTGTCCCTTCCTGCCGTCTCATCCGCTGGGCAGGTGTTGCCCATTTGGTCTCGTAGACTTGACTGAACTAAGAAGCACGTTCCTCACGTGTGCCATTGTTTGTTCTATGGGCCTGTCTAATCTTTGGCTAAAAGGTGGACTTCGGGAGTGGCTTCAGTTCTGAGTTATCAGGGTGTCTGGGGGCCATAGTCTCAGGGGTTCCTCCAGTCTCTGTCAGACCGGTAAGTCGGACCTTTTTTTGTGAATTTGAATTTTGTTCTACCTTTTTCTCCTGCTCTGTCTGGGACCCTCTGTTGTGATCCTTGTCGGTGCTGGTAGCTGGGCACCATCTAGTTGTTCTGGGCTCAGGCTGGTGGAGGCTGTGGTTCATGTGTCCTTTAGTCCTTTGGACTAATATTTTCCTTGTGTCTTTGGTTTTCATCTTAGATGGCTGCTCGAAAGCTTTTAAGACCCCAGACGCTACTCACCAAAGTAGGATGTAGAACGTTTTCTTTATGAACTGTATTATGCCAGCTGACCTACGTGTCCCCCGAGACCATGGTCCCCCACACTCAGCCCCAGTAACTGGGTCCCTCTAGGTGTTTGTATATGTCCAGGAAACTTCTATGACTTTGCCTTGGTCAAGTTGTGCTGACTTTCCCTGTATTGTGTGTTGTCCTTCCCTTCACCAAAGTTAAGCTCCCAATATATTTTTAGCAGCTCTATTGAGGTGTAATTGACATTTAAACTGTACTTTAAAGTGTGGCATTTGCTAAGTTTTGACACATGTATACACCTGTGAAATCACAACGACTGTGAAGATAACGAGCATATTCTTCCTTCCAGAAAGTTTCCTCATGTCCTGTGGTAATCCCTCCCTCCTACCCCAGCCTGTCTCAAGGAAGCCACTGATTTGCTTCTGTCACTATAGATTACTTTTCATGGTCTAGAAATTTGTACAAATGCAGCGTGTAGTACGTATTCCTTTTGTCTGGCTGCTTTTCACTTAGCATGATTGAGATTCATCCGCAGTTCGTGCTCTGAGGGTGCTGAGTGGTAGCCCATTGCATGAATGTAGTGCGCTTTGTTTATTCATTCATATGTTGATGGACATTTGTGTTTTCTCCAGCTTGGGGCTATTACAAGTGTTGTAGAGAAAAGACTCTCCAACTCTATTAAAGTAAAATCAAAGAGATTTATTGAAGCCAATGTATCATTTGAATGGGGGTCATGAAAACCTCAGCGTCTGAAGCTTACGGATCCCAGGGAGGGGGTACAAATCCCACATAGTTACGGTGCCGTAGGAGGAACTACGGCACAATATTCCGATCGGGTTGCAGCAAGCGAGATCAGTCAAAGGCAGGACAAAGCAAAGTGTCATTTTTAATATTATTGGTCACATTAACACGGCTGTAACACATTGATTGGCTCAAGGATATAATTGCGGGGTGTGTGGTCGCAGAGAGGTCGCATGACCGTCACAAAACAATGGCGTGACGATGACATGACAGATACTCTCGGGAACAGATAGTTCAGCATTACCTCGCTCAGAGCGTGAGACCTCCTAAGGAGATTTAACACGAAGAATTTCAATAAGGTTTGGTTACAGGCCCCTGACCACAAAGAAAGCAAGCATTTCCTCAATGACAGGCTTGGTCCCTAAGCAGTGGCTTGAATCTGTGTGAAAGGTTATACTGAGTCTAAGCCTTAGTTCAGCCGTTTTATTTTAAGCCAGATGCCTGTTTTGA